CATAAGACACAATATCGATGTCACATCGACTTATGATCTGCCTATCCGGGCAGATGTTTCTGGTATGTCAGCTAGTACAAGTACATAACCGCAACTGACGTTCAAGATAAAATTGAAAGCACCAGAATCGAGATTTTGCAGCGTCTTTTGGATGGGTTAGGAAACCTCCAGACCAAGATCCTCGCAGATAAGGTGGGCTGCAATGAAGCATGTCGAGCCATGCTTCTGGGGAGTTTGTTGCAAGGAATGAAGAAGTCGCGGATATACCCCTGCCCGCCAGCACCATTCCCTAACCTATCTCTCGACGCTGTGCTCGCATCGTTGGCCAACGTGCAGTCGCCAGCCTATTTCGGACCGCAAAGCCAAGGGCCACTCCTCAATTACTCCGGCAGATGGAACCTTGATCCCACATCTGCGAGCGTCGTGTCTGGGGGTCTTCTGGAATACCAATCTGGTCTTGTTCAGGGACAGCCAAAGCCTGCACCAGCTGCGGCCAATACTTTCTCTGCATCAATACCTCAGCAGACTGCCGGCGCTAGTGGTACCGCTCAGCCTTTCGGTGGTCTATTTGGTAATAGAAATGCTCCTCAAACCTCCAACGCTCGACCCCCGTTGAACTTTGGGCGTCCCTCTTCTGGCGATGTCCCTGGTACATCTTCTGTATCTCAGAACACCAGCAGTCCTCAAGTATCCTCTCAATCTGGAACTAAAGGTTTATTTGGTAACAGTGGTTCTAATGCCAAGATCACTCCCTTGACGGCAGAGAGCCCAGACCAGCCTCAAACCATCGTTAGGCATCACTGCCGTTTGAGGGACCTCATTGAACCCCTGTTAGTGGCAGCTGAAAAGGAAATCACAGGACTGAAACTTGCAGACTTCCCTCGGCCTTAGTGGTAGAATAGTTGTATAAGAAGTTTAGCCTGCAGCACATATGAATTCTAGATTACATGGACCTTAATCTAAGTCACTCTACTAGAGACTTTGTTCGACTCAGGAGGGGGTGAATTGTGTCTACAAGCTCATGTTAATGCGTCTAAGTCGTCCTCGACTTCTGTCAGAAGATAAGCATAGGTCATCAAATAGATATCCAAATTTACGTAAAAGCCGCTCCATCCCTGCCAAGAGCCCAATCAGCCAAAAGCTCAGGATTGTCTTTAATCTCCTCTCTGCAAAACATCAAACTCTTCCATTTTTCTTCAATAGCGTCGGACCGACGGATCCATTTGTCGTAAAGGTTATCAAGAACTTGATACTGCGGATTCTCGGCATCGCTCTTCTTCGCCCGGTCCAACAAATCTTTCCATTGTCTGCGACGGGTGTTGATAAGGTCAAGATCCTCACGGGATAGGCCCGAAGTGAGACCTAGGATAACCCTTGGCGTCTGCTGAAGAAGGACTCCCCACTCCTCCGCCTCGGCTTGTGGAAGGTGGTAGACCGGCGTGTAGTACTGGGTGTTGAGAAGGTGAAATAGCTGTGATACATAGAGACTAAGTCTCTTGTCAAGGAGAGCCAAAATCCATTTCGTCAGAGTTTCAGTGAGTTGTTCACGGCCTCTGGTGTCAGCAAGGCACTTGTTGCAGAAGCTTGTGTCATGCTTCTTTCCCGGTGACTCTGCTTCCTCAGATATACCATGTCTCCATCCCCAACGGTGTCCTTCAAGGCGAAAAGATCGTATCTCTTGCCAGCGCTCGCATCTGCTGCACCGAGCCATGTACATGGTATACAGATACACACCGACGCTGTGACTTTCTACGAACGGCTGCTCGCTTTTCAGTGTACCCAGGAATCCTGGGAAATTGCGATCCAGGTCTGACTTGAAACCGACTCGCCGACTGGGAATGACGGGAAAGCTTTGACTGCCACGATCGCCCACAAGCCGATGAGACAAGGATCCTTTGCGAAATTTGCACTCAATGCATTTCCGAAGATATCTCTTCTTACCGCAGTCATCGTTCTCAATCAGAAGAGCGATTTTGTCAAACAACTCCAGTTGTTCATCATCGTCCATATCGCGAAATTCCTTCTCAAACAGCTTTTCAAACCCAGCCAAAACCGTCACGTTTAAAATGTCCAAATGTTCAGCTGGATCTCCTTCGACATCACACATGACGCCTTTTGTCACCGCGAAAGAGTAAATTCTGCGTCTGCTTTTCTCCAACTGATATGCTTCAGAGCCGGGGGCCAGTCGATCCTGAGGACGCCAGTTGGGGCGAGGTTCCCAGGTAGTAATCATCTGAGCAGCATCAGAGTTCGGAAGAGGCTTCCGGTAGCTCAAACGTAGCAGCGACTGGTTATCGAAGAATTTGTTTGAAAGAAGACGAAGGCAGCTTGTGCAAGCCCAACGCATTGATTCCCATGCTGCATCTTGCCAACTGGGCTCCAATCTGCTGTCTCTTGACCGATAGGTGAGAGTTGGACCGCCGTGCTCAGTTGACAACTCAACTTGAAGAAGACGCTCGACTAAGTGTCCCTTTTGCGGGTTCACAAGACGTCTAAAGTGTCTGCTGGATTGGCTCACTGAAATGAGGCCGACGGGGTCGAGGAGACGGATGATCTGACATTGGATCTCGTTCGGAAAGTCAGTAAGCATTGGTAATGAAGTTGGTGAGTAAGAGTCTGGAGAATCAATAAACTTAAAGGGTTTGACAGAGGCACAGAGGCTTTTAATTCCTAAAGTAAAAGGTGTTACAGATTTAGCACTATTTTAGGTTGACTAAAGAGTGAGTTATATAATGAAAACCATTAATGAACATAGATGGCTGACTAAGGCTCTGTTTTAGGCAGCCAACCTTGGCCATTAGCCTGTTTTAGCCAGTGGGATCTTATGTGTAGAGGTCTTTTAAGGCAATAATTCAATCTAAATAAGGGTTACTAAATGAAATACAAGATATGTAGCCTATTACTTACTAAGACTCTTATTTACATTGATCCTTTCCTAAGCCTCCCTGTTGTAAATTCAGTCTCACTAAGAACTAATGTCTAGGCGCTACTTGGAAGCAGAGAGACGATAGTCAGCATGGCAGCGCAAATTGGGAAGCTACCGTAAAAGTCTGTTTGCCTGGTATATTATTGGGACACTCGGTATTCGCTCCCGTAATTCGAACCGAAACAAAGTTCGTATTGCTATCGGCCGCGGTCAATTTCCCGTTTTCTTCCGTACACTGGGAATTTGAGCGATTGTCGAGGGGATGATCCAACGAGCAGCTGAAACTTCGAGTACACGCATATTCGGCGTTAATTCGGAATCTCTCAAAGACTCCGTGGGCCACTCAATATCTACGGATACAAACCAGATAGGAGGGTATCAGGAGACTGAACGAGACTGCGACCCCAATATTGGTAGATTGCATCATAGCATCCGATCAATTTCGAGAAAGCTTCTGTTTTGAACTCACATCATCCCGACAATGTACCCCCCGGTTTCAATTTATCCGAAGTCTCCGAGTTTCGGAGAAGGTGGGGAGCGGGTACTTAATCTGCTGTTACACAGAGTGAGCGTACGAGTTCCCAACACAAAGCGAAAATACTTCAGACACGAAATCAACTCACCATGTCAACTAACGGTTGCATTTCTTCTCGAGCTGTGACTTATCTACCATAAGCTCCCAAGTTCTTTGACGTACTTGACGACCTATGGGAACCTCAAACAAACCCTCGCGGCCTTATTAACCTTGGACTCGCTGAGAATGTAGACAACAGCTTGGCGATGACTTGAATTTGAGCTGACTCTCAAAGGCATCGATGCAGACAGAACTGATTGGGTACATCAATTCCAAGGTATGTAATTTAGATATTCATGGTGTAGTAGTTTGCCGACATTCTCAGCTTCACGCCACCTCACATGCCGTGACGTATGGCGATGGCTTTACTGGCTCCAAACGGTTGAAGCAGGCCTTTTGCCCCTTCCTAAACCAGCGCTTTCGACCTGCGATCCCTCTTGTTCCCAAACACCTCCTTATCACCCCTTGAGTATGCAACGATATTGAGTGCTACGTCAGGTCGCTGTTCGATGAAGGTGATGAAGTGCTTATCGGCAGATCTTATCCGGTTGCTTTTAGTTACATCTTTGGGATCCAAGCATAGTACATACCCCGATCACTCCGAAGAGCACTTCAGTAACGCTCGTAGGGTCAGCATTCGTGAGGCCTCGTTCGGCACCACCGACCCCTTCAGTTTAGAGGGTATCGGAGAATATGAGAAGGAGTTAGGGCCAAAGAAGAGGACAAAAACGTCAAGGCTATCATTTTATACACTCCGCATAATCTTCTTGGTTTGTGGACAGTATTGGGCAGCTGTGTTCTATAAAGTGACATCATCGCAAGGTCGTTGGTATTCCGAAGAAGTTCTAATAGCTTACATGGGGCTGTGCAACAAACTGGACTTGCATCTTATCTGTGATGAGAGATATACTAACTATCTGTGTTCGAGAAACTCAAGATGACTGAAACTGTGCCATTCACATCGGTTCTCTCGATAAACCATACGAAGCTGATGTAATGCTAGGATTTTGGAGCCACAGGCTTACGGATTGGTTGTGTTATAAGTAAACACAGTTAATCATACCTGAGATCTCTTGGGGCTTCTTGTATGTAGCAAACCTCCGCTATTAGTATGGTGCAGTGACAGTTTCACAGGCTCTTTGATTTCCCCTTAAGCCTTGCAGACAATATCGTGGCGTTTCTCCTAACCGATGGAGAATATGTTCAGTATATCCCATCTTACCATGAACGACTGGCGGAAAGTCACGCCGTTGCAACACAACTGATCCCAAAGCATAAGATCTCATATCTAAATACTAATGCTTCGTTGTGCTTGATGGTCAACCTAGCTGCAGCATGCCAAGGTCAAGAGGTAACAGACGATGAGATTTTAAGTTGGCTCTGGAAGAAGAAAGTTTATCTTACATCTGGAACTAGTTACAGGAGCAAGGTGTCCTGTTGGTTCGGTGTGGTGAGTGCGCATCCTCGATATGTGCTAGATGAAGGCTTAAAGAGGGGAGGCTATGCCCTACGCTGATTTGGGTCGAGTGGCATGCCCCTGGCTTCTGCCTCTGGGTCCAAGGTGCCAAACTTAGCCCAAGTTGCGACAAGTGGGGTGGCGATGTCATCGAGGCGAGAGGCGTTGACGGAATCGTTCTTGAGAATTTGAACTAAGCTTATCTCGTCAGCTTTCCAAAGAAGAGCCACTGGCATGGCAACGTCAAGTCCAGCATTGGCGTGTTTAATGCCACTCTTTCAAAGTTGTAAGCTACATGTGCTACCCTTATGGCTGAGAGCTTAATCAGCACAGAGAACTTAGTGCTCGTACCACGTCAAGATAACGAAGACCTGGAAGCCCAGCTGGTTCTTGATAATATCGTTCATAAGCTTGCTGTTTTGACAGGGGTAAGAGTTATTAATTCGGTTGCACGAACCTATGACGTATTCTCAACACTTACACAAACAGCATTGTAAAGGAGCTACAGGTAGACCTCGTGTATAGCTCGGTCCTTAAGGTTAGAAGCGACCGAGGCGTTGGCCTTTGTCGGGAGATTTATGGCAGCCATGCAGTTGGTCTCCTGCTCACGGGCGATTAGGTGCTTGGGGTAGGTAATGATGGATTTTTAGAGATCCTTAATGGTTAGGTCAGTCAAGGCGTCAGGGGGGCGGGGGTCGTTGCTTGGAGATTCCCAGTTTCTGCTACTTTAGTATAGGTGCATGGGTACCATAGCATCTTCTGAAATTCGACATAACCTCCAGTATTTAGCTCTCTATACTGTGGAAGAAGAAAGTAATTAGCAACTCATTCTGCAGATTTTGTAACGTTGTAGAGCACTATGTAGTATTGATGCTCAGATCTTGAATAGGGATGGCTGTATATACACTTTAACCCGCCGAAGTACCTTACCCAGTCGGAAATAGCCATAGCCATGTTACTGGAATGAATAATGTCTGGATGGTATCCAGAACATGAGAACACAGGTTCATACAGTCTAGCCAGGTCATCGATGGAAAAGACGCTGGCAGGTGATATAAATAGAGGCTGTATAGGGGGTATGTCGATTACGACAAATTGAGCAAACGAGTGATGGTCTGCCACTAGAAGGAAGATCGGTAGGGGGGTTAGAGATCGAGTACAATCCAGATTCCAAGGCTTACTGCCAAGAAATCACATTCCCGTACCAGTTCCGACGTCCAAGACATATTCTTCAAAGCCGGCACTGAGACACAAGAGAGACTTTCCACCAAGGACAAGCCCATGCAGCAGGTGATGAAGAATATTTCCCAATTCCATTCATAATTCGTTGTTTGGAAATACGTATTTTTGCATATCAAAGCTATGGTAAGTATGACCTTCTTCATCAATATATTAGGTCTTAGAAGATGTCAGGAATTTTGAGAACGAACAGGAAGCTGCGGAATCTCTACCTGTTCCATTAAATTAGAAGTGTCTGTTGTGATAAGGTTTACGTTATTCTCTCCCGTAGACAGTAACAGGCTCTCCTCAAAATTTGACGAGCCATGAGCCGTTGAAAGCCCATCGAAAGGAATTTCATTAATGAACTTTCAGAACCACATGTTTGTGACGACGATGGGATGCTTGGCTCGCACAGACCTTTCGGCCTTGGTTGGCTATCCCCAATGTTGGAATCATCACGCCGCCTCGTCTTCAAAGGGCCTTGGGCAAGGTCAACTATGATAGGGTGGCGCGCAAATGCGATCGGTCCGAGTTCGAGTCCTGTCTGGCAACCCTCTGAGTTGATTGGTACACTGTCGAAAGCATCCGTTCAGCTCTTCTTTTGCTTGACTGTAATTAGACTCAAATCCTGGCGGATCCCAGATGACCCCACCTTTATGCCATGTCAGGGTGAGGCAACTGTCTGAGTTATTGGTGGTCAAACATACATTGGCAGAGTTTCTAATCATCTCTCCAATACCACTCATGTTCTCTATCTCCGTATTCAACTTCCGTTGGTCTCCTTTGAACAGATTGACGCGGTTCAGCAAAAGCTGTGATAGTGTTGTATCCCTTTGACACATCTTGAAAGGCATTCTCGGGCCCAATACTGGCAGTGGGGGTGTCTCTCCAACGAGCCCCTGACCAGAGACAGAAGGCCAACGCATGTTAGATGAATTGATCTGCGGTGGGACTTCCAATGAGAAACCTTGCAATGCTGTCAGCTGTCGGGTTGATGACTTATGGGTCTACAGTACTTACAGTAACGGGTGTTTTACATAAACCTCTATAAGAATGCCAGAAACCCGACCTAGTTGCAGTCTTGGCTTACTTATAAACTCTTTATAGCTACTATAAGGTAATTTAGGGGTAACTTTATAATATCGCTTATTTACTTAAACTTACTAATATATACTGTCTTTCCTAGATTATACTAAATAATTAAGCTGCTAATAATAATATCCTTAAGTTAGATATTATTTCCTATTATAGGGATATTATTACTAATACTGACTATAAGTCTGATATAGATATTAGGAAAGCTCAGTAAGATATTGCTAATAACTGTAGTAGCTTCTATAATGCCGTAGCTCGGCAGGCATACCAGGACTTGTGAGGGCCTGTTCGGGCCAGTATATACATGTTTCTGTCCCCAAAACAAAGAGGCAGACAAATCTGCCTTATATCCGCAAGAGAGTAAGATATGGCTACAGGATGTGCAGTTTAGAGCTAATGGCAAGGACTGATTGAGTAAATGCCCTTGACTTCTTACACTTGGTAAGATAGATCTTAAGGTCTTAGTAAAAATAATATATTAATTTTTCTCTTCTTTTTAGTAAAATAGACTTTATTTACTTGATATTTAATGTTAACTTTTAATAGATAAAGTATTTAATATATATTTATATTATAATTTAAGTATTTTTTCTTATATATATTATAAAGATTATTATACACTTTAAGTATTTTAAAGGTTAAGAGTAATAACTAAGTAAAAGACTGTAAAAAATAATAATTTCTAATAGCCTGAAATATAAGTTAAGTATAGACAATTAACCAGTTAGGTTTAATTAAAATAGGTTTTTTAGTATAAAATAAAAAATTAAGTAATTAGTTTAATAATATTAATTATAAAGATAAAAAGCCTAAAATTTAATTTAAAAAAGCATAAAGAAGCTAAAGTACCTTAAGGATTCTATTCTTTTTTATTTATTACTATATATAGCTATTATAACCCTTGCGGTTATATTATATATGCCCTATAAAATTCTCTATAAATTCTACTAATAAAGAATAAACTAAATAAATCCTTTTTAGTCTATCTAGTTAAATTAATTAAAATAGGACTAAAACCTTATAATATCAGTTTAAAACTAAAAGACTAATATCTTAATTCTTAATAGAAGTATTAATAAATACCTTATAATAGTAATATCCCCAGTTTAACCTACTGCTTCTTTACTAATATTACTTTATCTACTCTTAGATATAAGGTCAATTAGTTATATACCTAGGCATATATATTCAATTAGTAGAGGTTAATTTAACTTTTACTAACTAACTTATATAAAAGTTAACCTAATTCCTTTAAACCTTTAGTCTAACCCTGCCATTACCCTATATTCATTTACTCTAGTTACATTAAAAGCAGTACCCTCTCTGCTATAATAACCCTTTTAGCTATATTAAAAAGCTACTCTTTATATATATTTAAGTTTAGGCCTATAAAGGCAGTAAAGAAGGCTACTTAATCTAACTAAAAGAAATAACCTTTCTTTAGGTCTCTCTCTAGCTTCTTTAAATTTAATAGCTTATAATAAATTTAATTT